TAACTTTTGTCTAAGTCAGCACTTGTGAAAGAAAACTTGCTACTCGCCAGTACCTACTTCTACTCGCGCCAGGACAACTACTTGAGTACAGAAGATGAAAAACCACGAGTAGTCGAGTAGCAAACACTACTCGTGAGTACTCGAGTACACCGGATACTTGCCCAGAACTCAGTGGGAACAATATTTTATAGCATGAATTTACCACAAGTATACTGTCTTCAAAGCTCAATATAGCACAACATGTATTTTTTTATTTAACAATCAAACTTAGCATACAAAATGCCACGTCTGGGTGAATAAAGCCCTTCCCCTATAAACCGCCTTTCACTTTGGTCTGCCATTAGTATGGTCTATTTGCCTTTGTCGTCCTGGGATTCCTACCGCTAATGCATGCGCTGAAGGCTTTTAAAATGCAAAAACGCTGCTGTAATATCCAAACAAATTATAAGCTTTACATCAAACAAACACACACCAAAAAAAAAAAAACTCTCTTGAGAGCAAACAAAAGGAAGATAATGGTGGCAAGCACTAGTCTGTACAAAACACAGCCCCTTCACATCAAAGAAGACTGAAAAGAATTACTTGTAAACACTTTTGATTTAAAATTTATGAAGAAAAAAAAATGACACTCAATGTTGAAATTACAAGCTGAAAGGTAATACATATGTTTTTGCTGTAATTTTCAGAAATGGATGGATTTGGGGGTTAGGATTTTACAGCAAATATTGTTACGCTGACCTATAAGATACATGTACATGTAGATGCTGGAAAAATCTAGGAAAAAAGTGTTGTTCTTGTACATACTGGTTCCCTGATGCTATTTCAGATGAAACAGAGCAATTTATTTACGTCTGGGAATTATCAGGTCAGGAAACCAGACTAGCTGGCTTGCAACCAGTTCAGGGATGTGCAACCGATTGCAAACAAACTGTAAACGACATGTACCTAAATATTGTAAATTGGGGGCAGTATTTGGGGGAAAAATCTGTTTTTTCCAACGATAGACGGCCGACCATCGTTGGAAATTGATACAAAAATTCTGTTTTTCTTGAATGACAGCACACTGGGTGCCACAATTTTACAGGATGCTTGAGACTACTCACTGTACAAGCAACCAAGATATTTCATAAAAATAGGGTAGTTTTTTTTTCCATGTCTGCAAATGTTGTACATTACGTTTCAAAAACAGGTCATTGCAGGTTCATTTGAAAGTGATCACACATTGTACATTGTCTGCGAACAAGTCCACACAAACATGTACATGAAACATTGAACTCTACGTTCAATAGATTTTTCCCACAAACCTTTCATAAATGTCATATTAAAAAAAAAAAATTATCCGGTGCAGACATTTTATCGATGTTTTGTTCCACGGATACTTCCATCCCTCGCCATTGTCGGTCGCCTTGCACACGTGCACAACAACAGACCTAGCGAGGTGGCCGACACAAGTTCAAGGCGAATCCAAAACAGAATCATTATCGGGCCGAATGACTCTCAATAGGGGTTGGCGAAAGGGGGAAAAAAAACTCTGAATGGCAAATCGATAACAATCCTAGCGCTGTGAAAACCTCTTTATGCCGCAGGGAACCACTGAACCAGGACAGTGGGGACTTTGTGTATTGTACCAAATTTTGCCTTTATGCAATCATGCCCTTTGTGACTAGTGTCAGATTTGAGAAATGTTTTTATTCATTTTTTTATCCCTTCAAAATATACATTTTAGAAATTGTTATAATTCTAAAGGCCAAAGAGTGACTAGATGATGATCAGATGTACATTTTGTACAACTGTACATGTTGTTGTGATTTAAAGTTAAAACATTCATTTACTGTACATTGTACAACATTTGCAATCATCAAAAAACAAACTTAGGAAATTATTAAGTGAGTAATAGTCTCAAGCATCCTGTGAAATCATGGCACCTGGTGCGCTCTCATTTTCAAGAAAAGTGGAATTGTTGTATCAATTTCTAACAATGATGGGCCAACCATCTTTGGAAAAAAATGGAGTTTTTTTCAAATCTGCCCCCAATTTACCATATTTAGTTAGTCCATGTTATGTTTGCAATCGATTACACATCTGTGAACAGGTGCAAGCAAGCTAGTCTGGTTCCCTGACCTGACAGTTCCCCGAAATCTATAAATTGCTCCGTTTCGTCTGAAGTAGGGTAAGGGAACCAGACTACAAGAACAACATTTTTTTTCTTGGCTTTCCAGCATCTATGAACACAAAACTTTAAACCGTTCAGTGTAACAATATCTGCTATAAAATAATACCCCCCAAATCCATCCATTTCTGAAAATTACAGCAAAAGCAAATGTTGTACACTACAGTACATGTATGTACTTTTAAATTTAGAGGTTGATCTTATTTTTTGTGGATTGAAACTGCACTAAATTGTTTGGCTTATTCACTGTATAGCAGTGAATTCCCAAAACTTAGCATAAGCTGAAACTGAGTTTATACATGTATGTTCTTTTCACTTGTGTTGTATCATTTTATGAGCCAATTTTTAAAACCATTTTTGTACAATATAACTTATTCCATTTTACTAACTTGCGTCTTCTATGCTAACTTTTAAATCTTGTACATGTTTCAAAAGGCCCACAGAATTTTCCATCACTGAGATAATAAACTTTTGATTGTGTATTGAATTGCTTTTTTTTTAAGGGCAGGGAGTTACCATATTTAGGGGTTTATAGGTGTCTTATGTAAACATGTTTTCGGGCAACCTCTTCCAGGTAAACAGCAATTGTGCTAAACAAGCATATTTTTATTTCCGTACCCAAACCTGGGTTGGCCGCTAAAACAACATTGATGTTCCGCCAGGTGAACCTAATACGAGCTTAACCCGGTTCCCAGCACAATGGGCGCCGGTGAAATCGTCCGCCCAGCCCTCTTGTATCGCCCTGGATACAAGCCATGAAGACCAGAGCAGAGTGGTGCTCAAGTTACAAGGGGGGGGGGGGGGTGGTTTGGGGCATGCCACGGAATACTCATTTTCTGTAAATAGTAATCTTGCCAGGGAAATCCTATACATTAGGTTTATTAGCAATTTTGCAGGCTCCAACTAAATAACACAGTATGTGAAACCCAAAACACACGCTACATTTGGAGGGAGTGTTTCTATTTCAGTTTGGCGCTCGGAGGTTTGACCCCAGAAGTTCTCAAAGCCAAAACAAAGGTGCCAGGGTTCTGGGCGGGAATGAAAACACAGCGAAAATGAAGTAACCTTTTCAAGGAATGAGTGTAGGGTTAAGAGTGACTAGTGCATATCAAGCTGCATTGAAAAATCAACTTGATCCAACACCACATGGACAAATCAAAACTTTGTACCAAAAAAACAAACACCCAAAACACCCAAACAAAACAAAAAACCTCGGTTAGGAAAAACTGGTCCTCAACAGTTTGAATGAGTTGAAACAGACATGTACATGTACACGTACGGTACATGTACATGTATACGTGTACAACATGTACATTTGTACATTGTCCAAATTATCGATAAAATTAGCTGAACGAATTGTAATGTGCACATATGTCACTGGTTTTCCCCTGAAACCCCAAACTCAACCTATAGAACACAAACAACAGCCATATTGCTATTCTAAAGGCAAGAAGCTATACATGTACCATACTGGTACATGTACAGCTATCATTCAATTACCGTTTTAATGAGCAGAATATGATTTAGGCTTTGCAAAAACCAATTTACAATCCTCAGGGCATAAACGCTCACTCTATTAGCCCACTCTTCACTTCCTTGATTCACAAACCTGCCAACCACACTGTTAAAAAAAAAAAAAGACCACAAAATCTCCAATCCTACCCTGCTCAATACAGGCAGGATACAGGCCGACAGCTCACACAGCTGGCAATAATTGTGTCCAAGGTTTTCTGATTCTCCAAAAGCTCAGAAATAGCAAAGCTACAAGGGGAAATGTTATACAACTTCCCAAACCAGAGCCAGATGTTTTCTGCATACTCATAATTCAACCACTTGGAATATCTTATCCAAAAAAAAGTGTACAGGTACATGTATGACATATTGGCAAACTATCAAACGTGAAAATGTTACTGCACCGATCGTAAATCAACTCACTTCTAATTCCAAAAGCTCACCTCAGAAACATACTTGACATGTGCCCCCCTGCTTATTTGATAAGATTACTGATTCCTTCCTCTGTTTATTAGTGTGGTTTTCCACTTAGCGAAAGAGGAAGTGTTTCCAAGACACCAAAGGCCAAATTGTCAGTTAAATGTCACTTAAGGAAAGAGAGGCGTAGGCCATAACATCTACAGCAGGCCCACGCACAACCAATAACCGTCCAAATACGCGAGCAGCATTCGTGCAAAAAGATCTCTGTTGAGTTATCCGGAAACCAAACCACAGAAGAAGTAATGTTCTCTGGACAGCAGATTCTTTTTTTAGTTTACCCACAAAGAATAACTTAAAGTGAGTCTGATAATAAACAAAGCAATAAAAAGAATAAATCACTAAACAAAAACAAATTACTAGTAGACCTGACCTACAGGTATTGGAGAAAATAATGACGATAAAAAAAAGGGAAACTTAAATAAATTTGGATGTGAATTGGTCTGGTACCCAGAATCAAACTGCTAAGAATTCTACACTAAACACATTTTTATTAACAGCAGCAGTCTTCAGATTGCAATAACCTTGTGGCAGAGAAAATAAATGTATTTGTGCACTATATTCACAGAAGTAACATTTTGTGATAATAGGTTAAAATAAAAAATTCAGGAAAAAGACTATAAACAAATCTAAAACATGTCCTGATTCTAAGGTAAAAAAATGAATACTTTGAATATATGCAGGTACACGTGTACATGAAGAAAACAGTGCTGGTGGGTTTGAAAGGTTAAATACAGTACGGTATGGTTTCATGCACGTTGTGTTATCATGGTTATTGACTAAACACATGTAATGCTGCTAAATTTACAAAGTCGTACAATGTACACATGTCCTTCCTTACCAAGCCTCGTTTCCTAGTGGATGAGCTGTAGACATAACTAGCTGTGGGGTGGCTCTGGGGTACCGCCATCACTGGTACAGTCCCATATGGAGCCCCACTGGGTGCTAGAATCATCTCGCCACCCGCGTACGGATCGACGAAGTACATAGGTGCAGCGTTTTTCGTGGAGTCACCCCCAGTTGCAGAGACTTAATAATACGACAGGTGGGTTCAGCAATGAGGGTGTGCTACCACGATCACTCGATGCCAAGATGGGGATTGTCTCTCGGTCGCTTGGCACGCACACGAACCAAAAAAAATCCAGGGGAGAGTTGGGAATCCCGAACTCGCTGTGTCACAGCTCACGACGCATGTATGCACACACAAACAAATTGGTTGTGAATGAGCGTACACGCGACTTTACATGCAACTGCTGAATATACAGTAGTACCGGTAGTTCTTGTCTGCGAAGCCGTTGCGACCAAAGAGAGATAACAAAACAACCCAGAAGAGAAAGCCTAGAAGAGGAAGATGAAAAGAGTTCTACCAGACCACGTCTATACTGCACCTCCAGCCATGAATGAAATGGAATGAATACACACAAGGCTGGCTAGGCTGAGCTGGCTGGCTGCGAGTGGCTGGATGCTGAAACCGGCCTCGCTGTTTGCTCACCAAACCGCGTCGCTATTCAGTCGAGGGTCAACCCCACCACGATCTCATAAAGGAATCACTGGAGTGGAACTCTGGGCACTAAGTCTCCGGGTTTTCCGTTGAGCACATGAGCAAACTCTCCCTGCCGATGCGACTCTCGATCAAAAACAAATCTCTCCCAAACCCGGTTGCGTAACAGGAACATACAAGCCTCTTTTGAGAAAGTATTATTCCCATTCATCGAGTCGTCCTCACTCTGGCAGCTCTCTCCGGGAAATCTCTCCGGCAAACACGGATGAGGAGTGTGTGTGTGTGTTTTACCCTGCAGTCGCAGCAAACCAAATGCCATTCATCTGAATGGACTTAACATCCACCCAGGGTCACTTCAATGTTTGCCCTGCATGCACTGTAGGCCTATCCCCAGTCAACTCATTCACTGCTAGTGTGCACATTCAGCTCCACTCTCAACTCTTTTCTAATCTCCTCAGGTTCTGCATAACACCCAGCCTGGGCTCATATTTTTCCCTTTTCTCCCCTCGGCCTTTCAACAGCAGGGGCTTGTCCACAAAGCACTGCCTGAGCCGCAAGGCCAATCACGTACAAAGGGAAATAATCTAAATATCAGACACAATTAGTGCCGGCCAGCTTAACACATTATGGACTACACAAGGTGCTCAAATGTCCTTAGAAAACAGATATCAAGCACAGTTTCGTGAACATTCAACACCCGTTACAATTCTGGAAACAATTTCATTAAAAGTACATGAACATGTAACCGTAACTTAATATACCCCATGTATACATTTACATACTGTGCATGCATTGTACATGCCCTTGTAGTTTTAGTTCATGATAAAACACTCAGAATAGGTATTTAAAAAGCATTTTCCCCTCAAAAACTGTTCACTAATCCACCTATGTTACACCTATTAAATCCCCATAAAATGCTAACTTTTAGTTTTCTAATTAATTTACATTTGTAATTTAGTTACATGTACAATGTACCGGTACATGTATGAACATCAATCGTTTTGAGCCAAGCACATTTAACGCATCATACAAAACATCTTTAATTAAAAAAGACCACAGGGAGACTGTAAAACTGAAATAGCGCCCTCTATAATACATTGTCCAAGAGTGCTCTGATTGATATTTTTTTTGACTGACTGATTATCCAACTATCAAAACTCCAATTGTTGCGTAAAACTTGGGACCACACTTGTTTCAAAGAGTCCTCTTTTTGTTTTTTACAAAATTTTATCCCAATCTCCTAAATCAATGGATAAAATATTACAATGACTCAAAAATAACTTTTGGGTTGTTTTTTTTACTGGATTTCTTACATTTTGACATTGTAACAATGTCGGACTTGGAACGCAGCATTAAAAAATGGATACATGTACATGTATATTAAATGTACATTTAGTGTAAAACATACATGTAGACCAAAATTTGCTTTAACAAAAACAATTACCTAATGTAAAATGTCACTGGCAAACTTGTCTGAAACTTACTATTTTGACATTAATCAGCCAATCAGATTCTCTGAATTGACTTTATGACATTTTTTCCACACTGAATATTCAGTATATTTTGAAATTCATGACATTCATCAGCCAATCAGATTCTCTGCACTGACTTTTTGACATTTTTACACACTCAATATCCAGTAGCCTATATTTGACATTCATCAGCCAATCAGATTCTCTGCATTGACTTTACATTTTTTCCACACTGAATATTCAGTATATTTTGACATTCATGACATTCATCAGCCAATCAGATTCTCTGCACTGACTTTATGACATTTTTTACACACTGAATATTCAGTGGCCTATATTTTGACATTCATCAGCCAATCAGATTCTCTGCATTGGCTTTACGACTTTTTTTAACACACTGAATATTCAGGGCCGGAATAACAGTCAATTTCATTGGCCACTAGGAGAGCACTTTTCAGGGCAGCACAGTGCACTGCCGTTAAGTCAGCTTTTGTAAAGAGCAGTTTGATTGGCCAGAAAATATGTCAGCCCATATGTGGCTGTGCTCATGAATAATCAATCTCATGAGGTCAAAATAGGAAAGTACACGTATGGACTCATTTTGCCAGGGTACCATCATACGGCGTCCGCGAGTAGACTGCCGTGGCTAGCGAGAATGCAATTTTCAGGCTAAATACCGGTATAAAAGCAGTCAAAGAAATTGTAATAAAAAAAACATCGAGGTCCATGTATTCATTCATTTTTCAGACTTGTTACAAAAGATGACATCCATCAACAAAAGGGAACTTAGTGCACATAAAATAGCATTAAAAAAAAAACTGGGGGAAAAAGGGGGGGGGGGAACCAAATCTTTCGGAGCAAATTATGAGAAGTGTCATCAATAACTCACGGCATGCCAGCTTGAGACCCTGCAAAATTGCATTTCAATATGATTGAAAGCAGCCAGGCTTGTCGCACAAAAGAAGCAATTAGGGAGGAAATTAAAAGGAGATGGGATATTATTAAAGCCGGTATTTTATACACGGGGACAAAAAGAGGACCCATATTGAGAAAACAGAGTACTAATGAGAAGTCAGTATTTGTTGTGACATGGCGACATAAAATGTACACGTTATTTTTTTGTACAATTTTCTTTTTTCGTATTGCTTCTCAGGTACATCAATGTCATATGGTATTTTCAAACCGTCACATTAATTTGTAAAAAAAAACAAATTTCTTTTGTACTCATCAACAACTCAAAATGGATGAGAATGCTAAACTAAGTGGGAATTTACACGAGGTTTATCGGGAGATTTTTCTTGCTTGCAAAATGGACATGTGTACATTAATTTTTCTCAAATTTATACGTGCATGTACATGTACATGTACATGGATGTACATGTACTTTAAAACTTTGATGCCTACTGTAATTACCGGTACAAAGACATGTTTCAAAATATGATGCATGCCGTATCCATATCCAACTTTTCAGCAAGAGAATTTCCTTCTACATTTATCAAAGGAAAGTAAATTGTCAATTATTAAAACATTTAAAATATTATTACACTGACCTGTTTAATGTTGAAAGTTTAAAGAAGTCCATTTTTCGATAACATTATTACCAAAAAGGGATGTCATATAGAGAAGGAGAAAGTTGCACAGAATATGTTCCTAAGAAAAATTAATTACATACATGACCCTTGAAATTGAATGCCATAAAATACACACAGTAACTCAGAACACACAGAGAAACATTTGCTGGCACGTCCAACGTTGCATTTCTACGAAGGGCTCACCACTTTTTATTGCCGGCTCTGACAAATTGGCAGTGGCATAAAATTACTCCCAAATTGATCATATACCCGTAGGCAATACTGCAGCACCATAACACAGTGTATGTGTACGTCCGTCTGTCCGCCGCGGTAGATTACAAATTGAACCGAAGCGCAGGGATAGAAAACGCTGGTATGCCGTACCCATCGTCGCAAGGTTACACATTCTAAAGTGCGTTTACCCGAACGGTGGCAGCGCAGAGTGTGTCACACAGATGCCCTAATGGCAACGGGAGTCTGCCCCAGCAACCAATCTCGAAAGCTGAGACCGATTTTCTCTTTGCGTCTGACAAACAAACATCACCTCTGGTCGTCTTCTGTTCGGCGGGCGAAGGAATATAATCTAATCAAAAGAGGATGCGCAGAAAGGAGGTTTATTCCCCTGCTTCCACCAGCCCCCCCCCCCCCCCCCAAAAAAAATAAAAGGGAAAATATGTGGAAAAATCTGGACCAATTGATTTTCAGAGTCAAGTGAGGGCAGCAGACAGAGTTTATAACAACATTTAAAGCCAATTTTTTCTGATTTCATCCTTATATCCTCAAGTCCACGTCACGCAAATAGAACCAAACAATTCCGTGTTGGCGGAAAAATTTTCCCCAAACAAACAAACAAACCCAAATATATCGTAGCATTTAAAACAAATTTAAAGGTACACATGTACATGTTACAGTGTATCAAATGATTAACATCATATCATTCAGGACCATAAAGATATTAAAAAATAATAATTCAATTTTTTTTGATAAAGTAAAATTGAACCCTGCTCCCCCCAAATATTTTCATTACAATGTAGCAATAAAGTCACATAATTACGGTATAAACGAGCACTGCCCCTTTAAAGCTGAAAAATCATCTAAAAATAGACTTTGCCAATATCCCCCCAACACACACACACCCGGCGTAGTGTCACTTTAATTGCTATAGCTGCAGGAGACATGCGACTCCTTCCGCCCTCACAAAAAGTCTCGACGGCCAAGTGACAACGGGGTCGGAATCGAGACGCACGACTATTATTGATCGTACTTGTACAACCACCGCGCATTTGCCTCCTCCGCGCATTTGCCTCCTCCCTCCCTTCTGTCTTAAATTACGAGCGCCGCGGATCCATTAAGGTAGCGGGGAAGGGGCGCCATCTTCTGGCTCGTATGGTTACTGCAGACCGCAGTGTGGGGGGGGGGGGGGGGGGGGGAGAGAGGGAGTCACTTGATATATGTGGTGAATGGGTCGTGTTGATGAACACCGCGTTGAGTGTAACCATTTCAACAGGATCAAATTTCGTGATTGCCTTGGAAATTTGCTAACCTGAGAATTCTCACTGCTTACTGCTTAGACTGATCACCTGCTCTACTCACACTGTTTAGTGTGAACACTCACCAAACTTAAAAATCCAACTCGTGATGACCGCCGTTAAATTCCCAAGATTTTCCAAGACAGGAAGAATGATACATCCCAACAGCAGCAACGACCCGGTCGCGTGCAATGAAAGTGTAAACATTTTTTTTTAGGTACTGTGCGCGTTGGGGACTTTTTAAGTAATTAGGCTAAACTTGTGGATATTATACCGGTACTGTTAGAGAAAACAGTGAAAACCATGCACAACCTCTTGATCAAGTGACACGTTTTTGTCAAAAGCAATCTTAAAAACCCTAACCCTGCTGAATCCAACAGGATCCAACTATGTCATATACCCGTTGGAACCTGTTGGATTGAGCAGTAAATCCCTTGTGTACATTCCTGATGCAAAATGTTGGATTCAGCAGGCAACTAAACCGCATTATAACGCCATGTTGGACTCTGTTGGATTCAGCAGACAACTGAAAATAAGGCACAGTGGATTGAGCAGGAAACTCCGGTTGGACTCTGTTGGATTTAGCAGGGTAGTCCTGAGGAATTACTAAGGGGTTAGG